TCTCAATCTCTTTCCTAAGAACTTAAAATCTCAAGTGTTCAACACAATTGCTCACCAATTTATCCCTGCTGGATTCTGGCAGCAATGAAGCAAATTCCAGTTCCAGTCTTCCAGTCAGTCAATGGACTTCCCCAGGGCAATCCTGTCCCCATCCCCAGGAAAGCTACATTCCAATTACGCGTCTTTCAAGTCTCATGTCTACATAAGAATATCAATATTCTCTCTTCTTCTGGGTGTATAATATTCAAGTAGATGACTAAAAGCTCTCCTGAGGTTAAGTGGGGTTCCAACACAAGAGAATCTTTAGATAAGGGTTTCCGACTTACTATGTAGTATCATCAAAATTGTGGATGAAGACTAGAGCATAGGGTTTGTGCAAAATTGTACAATAGCAACAGGAAGGACCACTTCTGTACCTCAAGAGGTAACGCTGTTAGACTGGAGTGTGATGAAGTTTAATTTTTAACTAAAGTGAATGGGATATTTAGTAATTTCCCAGAGTTTAGATGGCAACTCTACATATTAAGCATCCTTGCTCCCCAAGCGAGTTTTTTAAATATTTTAGCCTTATTAGTAATGAAGTCACAATGCCATTCTCCAGTCTTTTCTCAATTTAATGCTGGGTGGTCACAGCCTTACCAACAGCTCTAGGTTCCATTCTAAAGTTTAAACAGCATGTTTCCTACACCACAGTGGGTTTCACACAATCCATTCCCATTTCCCAAAACAAAAGAGGCCAGAAGCCAAGCAAAAAAGTTTTATAAAACAAATAAACGGACAAGCGAAACAGAACTGATGATGAGTTTGATGAGGATAATGATGGGAAAAACGGTACTTTCTGGCTATGAGCTCAGTGACTGGACTGAAAAGGCAGAAAAACGACATCAGAAAAGAACAAAACCTGCAACTGATTCTGCTGCCAAACTATAGGATGGACTTGGCTGAATCACTGATTTCCTCCGTCCTCATTTGTTACCTGAGGGTTATATCAGATGACAGGCAAGGTCCTCAGAAGTTCTAACCCTTAATGATTCTAGACATCGAGATTTATCTAATATGGCCAGTTTCATGAGTTTATAATACCCAGAAGCACCCTGGTGCAATTGAAAAGGAAGCAGGTCTTCCATATCAGCCTGGCTTTGAATTTGAATCCTGGTTTCACCACTTACAAGCTGTGAAACCTCAGGCAAGTTGATTAACCTCTCTGAGCCTATGCTTTCTCATATATAAAGTACGATAAATAGAATTCACTGTATAGAGTTCCTTTGAAGCTTAAATTAAACCATGTGGAGTGCCTATCACTGTGTCCGATTCAAAATTAGTAAGTTGCCAAGCTCTCTCCGTGCTTTTCATATACTGAGTTAAAATAGGGGAAAGCATTGATTCCTTCCTTATTCTTTCCTGAATAAAGTAAGAAAATAATTTATAATTGTATAACTTTGAGAAAAGTTTACTTAAATGACTTTCCTGCAGCTTCCACCAGCCTGCGGTGGATTTAGTGTGTGAAACCTTTTCTCCCTTGAGCATTTACTTATTACACAAATGTTTATTCGGCACCTACTATGTGCTACTCCTTGTTCTAAGCAGAAGGGGTACAGTAAAGAACAAAAGAGGCCAGATCCCTATCTTCCGGAAACTTTGATCCTGTTGGATGTCTTCCAGAACAGATTTAGAAATAACGTTCTAGAAAATGTCTTCTTCCATTTGAGAGGCATCTTGCATGTCAGTATGGGGCTTTACAAAGCTCACCTTCTCCTGTTTCAGAGGAAAATAAAAACTGTGGAGGCTGGCTTATACCCATATATGATTTAGGTGAGAAATCAGCAGGGTACAAAAGAGAACATGAGTTCACTCTGTCATTTATTAGAAATGTAACCCTGGGCAAACAAATTAACCAGTGTGCCTCAGTCTCCTTCATAATAGTGTCTACTCGCAAGGATATATGGGACTTTAGGAGATAGAAAATGTAAAATACCTAGAACACGGTATGAGAGTGGAAATGGAACAATATTAAGAAGAATACAGATTCTGTTTGTTATTTGATTGCTCCTTGATCAGAAAAATATGAGCCATCTTAAGGTTAGAGACACCTAAAGGGAAAGCTGTAACATCCATTTATGGTTACTTGAGAAAAATGGTACAGAAATATACACAACCCACACATGCCACTTGTTACATTTTACTTAAACCAACAAAAGTAAGTCATGGAAAGTATGTGTGAGTCCCATTAAGAAAATCTGCTATCTGACAGATCTTCCAAGCTCAATTCCTGTGATAACATTTTTCTTTGTGCGGGGCACCTGGTGCCAAAATGGCATTCATGAAACCCTCCATTGTCGAGAGAGAAAAGATTGTTTAATTTCTACAAAGTATGTTACGCACACAGGGAAGGTTGCATTTTAATGACCTACAAAATGCATAACTGGTAGTGTTGTGAAATAAAGAACTCATTCAGGGTAATCCCATTTCAATTAACTATATACCTCAATTTTTGATCTAGAAAAAAAATTGCAGAATGTCTACCCACTTGAAATATTTTTACCATTTTTCAAAGTGAAAGGCTGAACCAAATTTTATGTGTGTGTGTGTGTGTGTGTGTGTGTATAAGATTGGTCCTGAGTTAACATCTGTTAGTAATCTTCCTCATTTTGCTGGGGAAGATGGTCCCTGAGCTAACATTTGTGCCAGTCTTCCTCTATTTTGTATATGGAAGCCGCCAGAGCGTGGCTTGATGAGCAGTGTGTAGGTCCGCACCCAGGATCTGAACCTGCGAACCCCGGGCTGCCTAAGCAGAGCATCAAACTTAACCACTATGCCACCGGGCTGGCCCCCTGAACCAAACTTTTAACCTTCATTACACATTGCTAGATGGGAAAATTTAAAAATGTGAACTATCCACCAGTCCAGTTGAAAAGGTGTCCTCGCTTAATGTGTTTACTGAATATCCTGAGGGGTCTTTCTTAATCATGTCCCCGCTTTGTCTTATTTATTCCAAACTTTTCAACATTTTTCATATTCACTTAGTCACACCACCATCCACCACCTAACCACTCTCCCTTTTTTTTCCCCCACCCATTAAGGTGAAGTTTCTCTCACCCATAAGAAAGAATAAAGACAGAGTGTATGCGTGTGTGCGTGTGTATGGTGTCTGTGAATTTCACACTAGAGCAGTAATTCTCAATTTTGGCTGATATTGAAATCTTTTAAAGGAGCCTTCTAATTTTCAAAACTACTGATGCTGATTTAGTCGTTCTGGGTTATGCCTGGGCCCTGGGATTTTTGTAAGTTCCCATGAAACATTCTAACGTGCAGTCCATGCTGAGAACCACTGTGCTAAAACATGGAGACTTCTTTAATTCCTTTTCTTTTCCACTCTATATTTATGCTGAATATTTTGGTTCTCTGGCTGGCTTAAAAATAAATTAATTCGAAAACTATATCTTTGAGTTCTTCCAGCTTTGGAAATGTTTCACTAATTTTCATCAGATCTATGTAGTTGTCTCCAGACAAGTGACATTTGCAAAGGTGGCACACTCACTCACTGCACCGACCCCAGGCACATGTCATTCCTTCCCAAAACACTATAACCAGCAGAGATTTCCATAATCTGGAAGGGCAGCCTGCATCCTAGATTTGTCATCTGTGGTCCAGCCTGCTCTTGGCCATCCTGAAGTTGGAGGTAACCATTTCTAAGGACAACTCCATCAGAGGCTGAAGAGTTAGGTCTGTGAAATGAGTCCTTTCTGACCATCAGCAGCAATTTCCCTATTTTCATTTATTACACGCTTCATGGTCATTTTTCTGAGTTTCTCCTTATGGTTAATCTGGCTAGTATAAATTTTCAGGTCCATTTTAGAGTTCAGATATGAGCAGAGGCCAAGAAGGTATTTGATTTAGAGATCACTGAGGCCCATTGCATTAGTTTGCTAGGGCTGCTGTAACACAGAGTAGGTGACTTAAACAAAAGAAATTTGTTTTCTCATAGATCTGGAGGCTGGAAGTCTGAGGTCAAGGAGCTGCAGGGTTGGCTTCTTCTGAGGCCTCCCTCCTTGGCTTGCAGATGGCCGCCTTCTCCCTGTGTCCTCACACGGTCTTCCCTCTGTGCCAATCAGTGTTCTAATCTTCTCTTCTCATAAGGACACCAGTCCTATTGGATTAGGGCCCACCCATATGACCTCATTTAACTTCAGTCACCTCTTTGAAGGCCCTATCTCCAAATACTGTCACGTTTTGAGGTACTGGGAGCTAGAACGTCAACCTGTGAATTTTGGGGGGACATAATCCAGCCTACAACACCTATGAATAAAAGAGTTTAATACCCCTTGTCTTCCCTCAGGTGGGATCCTATTTGTATAAAACCGTGACCATGATGTTTGTTTTTGGTTTACTTTCTCCAGCATGAGGAGCAGAGTTTGACTTTCTGGGAATGAATAGAAAGAGAGCTATGCATAATTAATAATTCCATGATAAATATAGTTGGTAAGCTAACCTACCTAATAAAATATAAAGGCTCTGAAAGAAGTATAAGAAATACAGAACCTATCAAGTTATGTGGTGGAAAAAGAAAAAAATGTAAAATAACTATACATGTGAAAATTATGCATGTTGGATAATCTAGGAGAGATTTGATTTTAAATTTTCTGCCTCATGATCTTTGTGAATCTGTTCCTACTTGTTAAGATGTAGTCCCAATTTAGGGCTGAGAATATATAGCCACCATTCAACAACTGTCTTAATTGGCCTGTTTTGCTAAGTTGTTTATTTGTGCTAGGCGACTGTTCCCACGCCCCTATCTGTGCAGGGGACTTCAATTTGAACTCATCAATCGCCTGCTGAAAAGTACTTGTGTGATGCTCAATATACTGGGCTTTTTCAATCCCTTTCTTCAGGTAATTCACCAAGATTTCCTTCTGGAAAATTTGAGTTTCCACCTCTGAAGATCCTGCCCACGTCCATCAGTCCCTTCATATTAAAACTGTGGTGTAATGGCAGGAACTCACCTTGAGGTTTGGGCTTAGTCAGTTTGCCACAGGGCTTGGAGACGGTGACTGTCTTCTGGCAGTCCGCGTTGTGGAGGGCTCGCTTCAGACTTCCGGTTCTGGTCTTCAAGGCCGTATTCAGGTCACATTCTCCCCAGGCCTGGAACTGGTATTTGCATTCCGCTAAAGGTAGGATAGGACCAGACAGAAGTCTTAGAAAGACCCACTTGTAGTGCCATGAAAATAAAGACGTATTTTTGTTTTCAACTCTTTGTATTGAGATAATTGTAGATTCGCATGCAGTTGTAAGAAATAATAGACAGAGATCCCAATATATCCTTCATCCAGTTTCCCTCAATTGTGATATCTTGCATAACTATAGTCCAATGGCACAACCAGGAAAGTGACATGGACACACTCCATGGAACTTATACAGGTTTCACATGGACTCATTTGTGTATGTGGGTATGTGTGTATTTAGTTCTGTGTGACTTTATCCCATGTGGATAGAGTGAACACCACCACCATTAATATACAAAAGAGTTCCAACACAAGAGTCCCTGGGATTATCCTTTTATAGTCATAGCCTGGCTACCTTCCTCCCTTCCATCTCCTTAGCCCCTGGCAATCACTAATCTGTTCTCCATCTCTATAATTTTGTCAGTTTAAGAATATTATATAAATGGAATCATACAGTATGTAACCTTTGAGATTGTTTTTTTTTTCACTCAGCCTAAGTTGTGTGTATCAACAGTCTGTTCCTTTTTATTGCTGACTAGTATCCCATGGTATGGATGTACCACAGTTTGTTTAACCATTTACTAGTTAAAGGATATCTGGATTGTTTCCAGCTTTTGGCTATTACAAATAAAGCAGCTATATACATTTGTGTACAGATTTTTATAGGAATATAAGTTTTCATTTCTCTAGGATAAATGCCCAGGAGTCAAACCATTGCATTGTATGGTAAACACAAGTTTAGTTTTGTAAAATACTGCCATACTCTTTCCCAGTGTGGTTGTACCATTTTACATTCCCATCAGCAATGTTTGACTGATAGAGTTTCTCCGCATCCTTTCTCACATTTGGTGTCATTTTTTTATTTTAGCCATTCTGATATGTGTATAGTGTATAGTGATATCTCTTTGGTTTTCATTTCCATTCCCCTTGTGGAGAAAAGATGTTAAATATCTTTTCAGGTGTTTATTTGCCACCTATATATATTCTTTGGTAAAATGTTTGCTCATGTCTGTCCACTTCTTAATTAAATTGTTAGTTTTGAGAGTTCTTTATATATTCTAAATATAAGTCCTTCAAGACATGCTTTTTAAAAGTTTTCATAAGTGGATTTTTAGGGTGCCCATATACAATTTAAGACCAAACATATCTGAATTTCACCATGCCTTTATAGAATTTATCTCCACTCATAAAAAGTACCCCAAAGATTATAGAAAATGAAAAAGATATAGTGTATATATTCATTGTGCTTCTTCACTGTCCTGTAATTTCTGTAGAACAGTGAGAACATTTTGGGCATGATGTCCTATCATGGCTAAGAAGAACAAAAAGTCTAGAATTTGGAAAAAACAGGTAATTTGGGTATTCAGTAGTGGGTTTAAGGTTATAAGCGTTGAAAGATTCCTTTTTAACTAGGTAGATGAGGCCAGCATGAGACTGGCAATGTTCAGTGAGAGACAAGACTATGAAAAGTGGCTATGACCATCCTCACTGGGTTTGAGAAGTAAATCTGTGAACCAGTATAGAGGGTGGGGAAGGACCTAAAGACAGAGAGGGCCTGAAAGTAACAGAAAGAGATCTCAGGGAGGGGGAGAATAAATAAGAAAAATGGAAAGGAAGATAAAAGGAACTTAGAAACAGAAGAAGGAAAGAAAGGAAAGAGAAGATAGATCAATGAACACTGTTAGGAGGGATCAAGGGTCTACTTTATGTCCCTATTGGTAAGGCAGTGTTTCTCAATGAGGGACTATTTTTGACCCCTACAGGACATTTGGTAACATCTGGAGACATTTTTAGTCCTCACAGTTGGTGGAGGCGGGGAATGTTACCTGAAACTACTGGGTAGAAGCCAGAGATGTTGTTAAATATCCTAAATGCACATACTGAAGCTGAGAAACCCTGGAGTTAGGTAAGACGTCTGGTTATCTGATAAATTAAACAGTAGTAACTTCAAAAGTAACTTACTATTTAAATTAAATAGTAGTAACTTCAAAAGACATTTGGTGAAAGAATGCAAGAATTATCTCAGAGTGGAAGATTAAATCAACAGGACAGTAGGGGTGGGACTCACCTCCGAATTGCTTTTTCCAGTTGCAGGGGATCTTACATCTCTGGGTCTTCATGGTTTGTTTACACTCAGCTCCAGTCCGGGTGCCCTCCCGGGTGCCCAGCCCACAATCTCCGCTGGTGGGCACACACACGCTCCACTGCCATTCTCCACAGTCAGACTTCTTCACTTTTTTTTCTGGAAGGAAGGAAGAAAAAATAATTAACATTCAGAAAACTCTTTAAGTCCTAGATGCAACTAAGTTCATTCCTGAGCACCTTCATAGCAGGTTCTATGCCTTTTACCTCCATCTTCAGTGTCCAATAAATAGTAGGAACTTGATAGGTGTTAGCTGAAGGCTTGAATCAATGATTGACCAAGAGAAGGGAGAAAGAAAACTGAGGAAGGAGCTAGAACTAATATTAATTTAACTCTGACTAAGTGCCTGGGGCTGTGCTAAATAATTTGCTGACATCTCCTTTCAGAAGTGAACATTTCTGTAAAAGAGACAATGGTCAAAAACAGGTAAACCTAAAAAATGAGAAAACATTCTATTAGAAGTAGCAGTTGTCAGATTAGCCATTTCAATGCAAGTCCCTCTTCCTTTTTCTGTCTTATAGATGGAATGGCATAATGTAAGTGTAGTGGATCACAGATGTAAACAGACTCCACAGCCTCCTTGTGACATTGGGAGTGACATAGAAAATGTGCTTTGTCCTCTCTGAGTTTCAGTTTCCTCCTTTGTAAATATAAGATAAAGCAAAAATTCCTGCAGAACTATTTTTGAGGAAGAGAGGCAACATAAGTAAAACTACTGATTGCTGGTTGATGTTCTGTACATAGTAGCTGCTAATACGACCATTATGTTAATGACCACCATCTATATTTCAGGACTTACAGTGGGGGGAAAATCAGAGGAGATGTCATTTAGCTTCCTGTAAATACTTGAAGGAAGGAAGAAAGGGAGGAAGGGAAGGAGGAAGGATAGAAATCAAGTAGTTGGATTAGATGGACGGTAATCAATGAAGAGTCTTGCCTTCATAACCCCACTGCTTACCTGGTTTCTCTTTCTTCCCTGCTTCAGCAGTGTCCACAGCTGCCAAAATGAAAATGAATGCCAAGAAGGCAGCTGCGAATTTTCGACGCTGCTGCAGGTGCTGTTGGGACTGCATTCTAGGAATAAACAGAGAAGCAGAAGAAAGTGGTGTCAACCTAAGTCAGAGGAAGGCTCAGTGAACTCCTTGATGAAGGGCTCAATTTTCCACTTTTGGAATACTAGATTTTGGGAAATTTATATCAGTTATCTTGGACAGAAGTCTATCTTTTCCCTCCAACAGCCGCTGAAATAAGTGCTCTTCTGCAAGCAGTCACATACTCACTGACAAAATACAACAGTTCTCCATATAACACTTCACACAACCATTTGCTAAGTACGACTCAAGAATTATGGAAGCAGAAGATTTCTGATGACATGGCTTTGAGCAGACTCCCAAAGTAAATCTTGCTGATAGTGACACTTGGTAATGTCAATAGCTGTAGTCATCTTCATAACTCCTGACAATTCCTAGAAACAACCATGGTGTTGTAGTCCATGTAATTTGAGTGGACACAGTGAATGGATTATCTGTGCAAGTATTATATTTACTGTTAGCTTTAGATGCACCAATAATGACCAACATCTCTGTTTTTTTGTATTCTTTCCCATGATCGTGACCATCTCATCATTGTTGTTTCATTAATCATTGGTCCACTGAAGAGCGAAGCACAAAACAGAAGTAGAGCTAGCACACCTTTGATATATATCAAACACACATAAACTCACATGTCCTGAAAATGCTCTAAATTCTAGGATATAATGAAAAGTCTTTAAACCCACTCATAATCTGAAATTCTCCACATTTGATATGACTCAAAATCTCAAAATAACATTATAAAGACTCCCATAGAACTTTAAGTCACTTTCAAGAGCTGAGTGTCAATATGGTCACCTTGCCAAACACACTTGAGGAAGTCTCAGTCGAAGCCCCAGGACAACCCATTTCCCAATGGCTTCACTATGTCACTAGCTTCAGTAACTCACCTGGCAGTTATTTATCTTCATCTGCTGGGTTCATGATGACTTCATATAAAAAGGACAGTAAGGTTATTAGCTCTGAGGATTTTTTTCCAGAAGTGGTAATAGATTAGTTTAGATATTTTTACATTCTCTTGATTGTAAACAATAAAACCTCTCATATCTATAAAGGATTGAGATAATTCTCTTCTGCAACTTCTTTTTCTCAGTCAAAAATATCTAAAAAATGATTTTCTTATTAGTTAATTTGTTTCCCTTTCTGTGACATTGGAAATGGTATCCTTTATTGGTGTTTTCTTTTTTTAATTGATGACTTTGAATTTCATTGCACAGACGAAGTATATTTTATTTACCAATTAAAATTAATATTTTGGTCATTTGGTCCTTTCATTGAATCCTGATTAGCTACTCACCATCTCTATCACTTACAAAAATCTTATATTGGGTGCTTTGTTCTTCCTCCTAATGCTAAATTTTTATAATTATACCTCACTGATGGTCACACAGGAAAGTTCCTATTGGTTCTTAGACTTTTCCTATGCCTTTTCACTGAGCATGAATGATATGAGAAGGCAGTCTAGACCTACTGATTGGCAAGTCTTCTCACAGTTGAGTACCCTGGTGCATCATACGACTACACTTCTTCATCATATATTCAAATATCGTTTAAAATTATTAGGTATAAAGTAAACCAAAGTGGAAGTCTTCTGTTGCTTTCTCCAAAGCCCGTCTTAGAACCTAGTAACTCAGTAACTAGCCACTTTGGAGACAGAAATTTTTCATTTGAGTTTTCTTTCCTTTCTTTCTTTCTTCCTTCCTTCCTTCCTTCCTCCCTCCCTCTCTCCCTCCCTCCCTTCCTTCCTCCCACCCTCCCTCCCTCCCTCACTCTCTTTCTTTCTTTTTTGCTGATGAAGATTGGCCCCAAGCTAACATCTGTGCCAATCTTCCTCTATTTTGTATGTGGGTCCCTGCCACAGCATGGCCACCGACAGTGGTATAGGTCCTCACCAGCCCAGGAACCTGATGGGCTGCTGCGAAGCAGAGTGCCAAATTTAACCTCTAGACCACAGGATGGGGCAGCTCCCTCAGTTGAGTTTTCCTACAGGAGAAGTTAACTTTTCAATTCAGAACCTTTACATTTTCATGCATTCTTTCCAAGTGAGAATTTGCCTTCATCTTTAACAATTACCTACTAAAACCTGAAGTATTTAGATTGTGAATTAGATTATTGTGTGAATTCAGAAATTCCAGCTGAGAAAGCACAGCTCTTGAGAGAACCTGCTGACCAAGCAATGGGGTGATCCTTGTAGAGCCTTGTAACATACACAGCAGGAAGAGAGGTCAGGAGCACCTCAGAACCACTGAAGCAACACAGCCACCTGGCAGAAATAGAAAGAACTCTCCCTTCCATAAATAACACAGCACAAACACAGAGTTATTAATGGAAAGATGCTTTCACTGGCTAATTTTAACCTTGGCATTTCTAGTTTTACATTGCTAAACTCTTACTTTTATAATTATTTTTGAAAAGCTTTCTCTTAATCAAGTTAAATGCACTTAGTTTCAAGGAAAAAAATCCCACACAGGCAAGAGTTTCTTAACCATATAAATCTTCTTTTGAGGCATAGAATGGTCTATTAAACAAGTTATCTTAACTGAAGTCTGAGCCAAGCAGAATGAAAAGGAGAAAGGAATCGGGGTGAAATTTGGAGAGTTAGTAGAATGAAAATATACTCTATCTACTCCTGATATTACTTAGAACAATTCAGAACCTTAAAAAGTGGGTAAATTGTGAATTTCAGCTTTTAGATGTTCTACGGAAAAATGCTCACAAGTCCATGTGTACAGGGAGTCACCTGTGTAAAATATGTGATCAGCAACAGGTTAGAAGTGGAGCATATTTTTCTTCTCGATCTCTTCTCTCTTTCCTCCTATTTTGCCTGCCATTCTGCTTAAGCCTATATATTGATAGGTTACATTTTTCTGGGTAGAGAAAATGAATAAAGCATATTTAAAAGAAGAGAGTAAGGAGGTTTAGAACAGGGATGATTACAATTATCCAAAACTTCAAGTCTGCCCAAACAATACCCAATTAGCATGTTGGTGCCTTACTATTGTAATAAATCCTTAAGTAATTAGTACATGTATAGATAACAGTTCCCTGGCCTGTGGTATCTGCATAATTGATTATTTATTTGTCCTTAGCCTCAAGTAAAGGCAAAAGCTCTGGATATAGTTTCCCCCTGGCTGCTCTCCAGCAGGGTGCTAGATGAGCACAGAGACAAGAACATTGACCTTAAGGAAGTAGTCAGGATCATGACTCATTTTTCACACTGAGGAAAATAAAACAGTGGAAGAAGAAGCCTTGCTAAATTGGCTCAGTTCATTTGAATAATTTACTTATTTTCACCCCCTTATACTGCTATCTTTCCTTGTACCTACCTTGAGAGATTTAATTTTATAGGGCTTAATGGTCAAGTTGAAGACTACGATACGTGGACACTGGTGTCTGGAAATTATTGTTCAGTTATTTCAATCACTAATAAGTCTGAAGCTCAAAGTTTAAAGGAAATTAAAGTTAAACAGACCAACTCAGGGGAAAAGTGTTAATTTACTGAATCTTGATCTCTTCTGTAGAGAAATAGTTGATTAGAAGGAAAAAAGAGCTCTCCTTACCTTTAGTATTTTAATAGGATCTAGGGCTTTTTTTTTTTTTTTGAGGAAGATTAGCCCTGAGCTAACTACTGCCAGTCCTCCTCTTTTTTTGCTGAGGAAGCATGGCCCTGAGCCAACATCCGTGCCCACCTTCCTTTGCTTTATATGTGGGACGCTTACCACAGCATGGCTTGCCAAGCGGTGCCATGTCCGCACCCGGGATCTGAACCGGCGAACCCCAGGCCGCGGAGAAGTGAAACATTCGAACTTAACCACTGCACCACTGGGCCGGCCCCAATAGGCTCTAGAATTTTTTAAGATAACATCTAGTGTAAACACAAGACAAGGACGTTGAAATATGTCCCTTAGTGATCTTGCTGGAAAGACTAACATGGGAGTTGGAGGCAGAAGCTTTGGCTTAAACTTCAGCTCCACCATATAATTTTCGGGATGTCCTTGTACAAATCACAATCATTTGCACCTCTGTTTTGACATCTGCAGAGTAGGATTATTTTATAACAACTACTTGAGAGGCTTGTTGTGAAAATGCAAGATGCAGACAAAGAGCTAACCCAGAATATTAAGAAATACATTATTAGTTGATGAATAAAGTTAATTCACTCCTACACTAAAGTACTTCTTTTTATTGAGAAATAACAATCATTACACTCTGAACTATCTAATATTATCCACAAGCAAAAGACAAAATAAAAAACAAAGAAACAGAGAGAGATATGATTGAATTAATATCAACTAAAGATTCGTTCAGCCTTATCGGCACAAACTCATTCTGCCTTTTGACTCCTTGGAAGGTTAAAATAAACTCAAGGATCTTCATCCTCAGTGTTTCCTTGGAGTTTGCTAAAGTCAAGAGGTTCCATCTTGAAAATTAGGAAAATCTGGATGCAATTTAACTTGTACCAGATAAAAAAATAATCTCACTTTTCAGCTGTGTTTTATGCTGATTGTGTGGCGAAACCATTCCACCTTTTTCTTTTTATTTCAAATAAAAAGCACAGGGCCCCATCACCTGGATGCCACTCAGTAAAATTTTTGCTAATGAAAAATGGCTCCAAAACATGGCACCAAGTCAGAGGAATTAATATTCATCCTAAAATGATGTCTCAGCTTTTTGTTTATGCCATGGGATATGAAATTCACTGAAGAAATTGGACTGCAAACAACAACTAGAATCTAAAGCAGTGTCATACATATGAGAATAATCAGTGAATGATTTGCAGTGCTTCTGCATCATACATTACACATCACTAGACCTTTCTGGATATTTTGTGATCTACTTGCCTAAACTCCTGTGAAATAGTAATTTTTTGACCTTTTAATTGTAAAATAAAACATGAGAGACAAAAAAAAAACACACAAAGCAATTACATAGCTCAGTGAATTATTATAAGATAAATTATTTTTCCAGTCACATCTGAAGGCT